TTTATATTAATTAATATAAAAAATATATATGAATTATAGTCTAAAAGCACAAGTTATATAAATCTATAGTAAATATATATTTCACTTGTTTTCTCCATTTAATTAAGAAGACATTTCAAGTGGAGGTCTCCTAGCAAGTTTCTTTTTTTTTTAACAAATTCCTTACTCGTAATTTATTGTTATAGACTTCTATAACTTTGAGTAATAACATATGTAAACAACTTTTTTCTTCAATTTTTTAATATTATTTTTATATTTTATTAAATAAACAAATAAATATATACAATATCATAAATTCTAATAAAATAAAAAATTATTAAATAACACATAAATTTGTATAAAAAATTATCTTTCAATTATTTTTCTTAAAACTTTAATTCTAAATGCGAAAGATCTTGCGTTTTGATCTCTGCAATAACTAAGCACGTGTTGACTTAGATAAAAATTTTTAAATTAATATATCTACCAATGCTCAGTCAAATAAGCTCTTTGCTCTTATAAATCAATGCCTTAGAGAAATTAGTTGGATGGTATTTTTAAATATTGTTTACTGATTCAAGCATTGGATAATCCAAATGGAAGAAAATATGACTAAGAAACATTTTGTAACTCAATTTATACCCCTTTAGGATTGGACATGAGCCTTATTGATACTAAGTGTAATGGCTTGATTGATAACTGAGTTTGTTTTTATGTTATTGATTAAAATTTAATTTTTCAAAGAGAATATGAAAAAAGATATTTTTGTGAATCACCTTTTTGATATACTCTTACTAGTTTAATTTCAGCAAAGAAAAGGAAAAACTCTCTTGATTGGCTGATGAGGAATGCATTAATTTTCTTTTATTTTAATTATTAGATATTAACTCCAAAATTCAAGGTTTTGAAGAAATTAACATGATAATTAAATGGAAATTAAAAGCTCCATTTGTTTCAAAAATAATCTGTCATTTTCTTTTAATGAATTTAGATCCTAATTGAGACTAAATTCATTTAAAAAACAACAATTATATAGGAACAGAAGGGAGCAATACAATCCCTACCCATGCAACTAGACCTAGGAACTTCTAAATTACAAGCTATATATATCAATAGATATGCATGTCATGACCTGATCTACAATTACATTAGAACTTGTTATATGAAATAAAAATTAATGCAACTGCTAAAATTACTATGCATGATACTGTTGTTCCCTCTCTTCTCCTTTGTTAGACCAATTACTTTAACACTAAGAGCGAGTAATGTTCTTGTTTTAGCAGAATGTTTGCTGGATTTGGTGGGCGAGTTCTTCAGCACTCAGTTGGCATTCAATTCCAATCTGTTCAAAAAAAAAAAAAACGAAGTAAATCTCTTAATCATTAGCCACAATAAATCTCCTGCAATCAAGATATAGTAGTAAGTATATAACTTCACAATCAATGAAAGAAAAACCAAAGGTTGCATTGATTTGATACCACAGATTTCAGCTACTGATGCTCATGCTTTTCAACAGACACCCAATAAACAAGGCGAAATGACTCGAAGTATACTTAGTCCAGACATGAAAAGACACAATGTTTTTCTAAGCAATTATAGAACAAATAGTCTTTTGCTATATGAACTGACTGACATGTTTTCTAATTTGTCCGAATTGAAAAATATCTTTCTTTTATTAAAAGGGGAATTTTTTTAACTTGTATAGGTTAAATATACATTTTTTATTATAAATATATATAAACAAATATAAAAATTGATATTAATTTTAATATCAAATAAATTAATTAAATAATTAATAAATTAAAAATTAATTTTTATTTTTAATATAAATTTATAATAAAAAATATATATTTAATATATTCTTAACTTA